CCTCTATCAGACTGGTCCATGGGCATGTCTGTGAGGCATTTTCTTGCTTGTTGAGTGATGTGGGAAGGCCCAGAACAATATGGGTGGTGCCACTCTGGGCAGGTGGTCCTGGGTTGGATAAGAAAGCAGGCTGAGCACAGCCCAGAGGAACAAGTCAGTAAGCAGCTCTCCTCCCTGATCTGTACTTCAGTCATGGTTCCTGCCCTACTTAACTTCTGGCCTTGGCTTCCTTCAAGGATGAACTGTGATTGGGACAAGTGAGCCAAATAAACCTTTTCTTCCCCAAGTTGATTTTGGTAAGAGTACTTTATCACAGCAATAGAAAGCAAATAGGATACATATATGAAAGCAGTAAGTTGTCCTAATTCAGGTTAACATTTGGTGAAACTCACCTTAGATCTCTTTACATTCATATTCAGAAAAAGGCTGGATAAAGAGTGAACGTACAGATTTATAAAAGCAATTTTATAAAATACAGTCAGGCCATATTTGCCCATATTTCATATTTCATAAATGAAAGTATGAAATTTAATGGCACTAGTATTTAAGAGAAGGAAAAAATAAAATGGAAGAATGGATAGACTTTAGATAAATGTCATCTCATCTGACAAGACACTAATCCCTTAAAGATCCCTCTGAGGCAGGTGAGGGAGAGGGCAGGAGTGACTCAAAGCCAGCAAAGGCTGAGAGTCATTATGTCTTGTTCTTTTAATGACATTTTCATTTTGGATGGCATGGGTTGACTGCTCAGAGACATTCCTAGTCAGTGTACTCCCCTCTTCTCTCCACCCACCTCTTGATTTTGGTTGCTCAGTTATTTTTACTTTGACAGGTTTTATAACATTTGCTTCTGTTCTGCAAGCAGCATTCACCTTGACTGCTATTCCTAGCTTGTGCTTGAATAGGTTGGAAGATCACCACCTTCTTTCTCACAGTGGCTCTACATGACTGAATTTTTTGTTTTGTTTTGTTTTGTTTTTTTGAATCACCTCTGGGTTGGCGGGGTTTTGCTACTGAACACTGCTTTTAGGAAGAGCCTGTGAGTACTTTATTTCCCAAGTTCCTTCATGTTAGGAAAGGACTGACTGACCATTTGACTTGTGTGGTTGTCTCAGGTCATGTTTTCTACAGGATGTGCCCTACACCCCCCTTTTCATCTTCCTTCCCTCCCTCCCTCTCTCCCTCCCTCCCTCTCTTCCTTTCTTCCTTTTCGTGTGTAGTGTATTTGTGAAAGAGAGGGTATGTGTTTAAGTGTGTGTGTGTGTGTGTGTGTGTGTGTGTGTGTGTGAGAGAGAGAGAGAGAGAGAAAATGTATATACATGCATGTGTATAGACATCAGAGTGTGTGGAGGACAACCCATAGAAGATTCTCTCCCTCTACCAAGTGGGTCCTGGGCATCTGACTCAGTTCATCAGACTTGGAAGCAAATGCCTTTACCCACTGAGTCACTTCACTTGTCCTCCACCTTATTTTTGAGACAGAATCATTGAACCTGGAGCTTGCCTGTTGGCTAGACTGGATGGTCAGTGAACCCCAGGGCCCCTCCTGTCTTCACCTCTAGTGCCGGGATTACAGATACATGCTGCCACAACCAGGTTTTCATGTCAGAGCTGGGGATCCTAATTCAGGCTCTCAATCTTGTGCGTTGTGATTGAACCATCTCCCCAGCCCTTGCAGCCTTTTTTTTTTTTTTCACATTTCCTTCTGTAACTTTATCTTTTGCTAGGGGCTTGACAGTACCTGAGTATTAGTATCTTTTCTTCCTTTCCTTACATACTGAATCAACCAGGGAATAAAAGAACTGGTATGTGAGAATGGACCACAAATATACTGAATCCCAGAATGAGACAGGCAGGGCTGGAGCCTGTCCATCCAGAGCGCCTGGCATGGAGAGGCAATGTGTGCTTCCCTAATTCCAAGAAAAAGGAGGAGAGAGGGCTACAAGGGCCTGCTGTCTTTGACCTCTCAACTAGTTAAATCTCTATTTTGGGGCGGTTTCCTCTGCAGCATGGAATAGCCTCAGGAACTCCGCTTTTGCTTCTCAGAGTGCATTTCCTTCTAAACAGGTTTCTTTGGTGGTACAAATTTGTAGCAGAGGGGCAGCATGAGCTAAAGACATTGGATGGCCTTATATGGCCTTAATAAAATAGTAAAGGTTAGTGGTGGCTTGGAAGTGGGACAAAGAGAGAGGTCAGGAAAGAGCAAGTGTTGAAGAAATAAAGACAGAAGGTCCAGGGCATTCCTTGGAGAGCTTAGAAATAAAGGAAGTGAAAGGGTAAAGTGTGAGACAGCAGCACCATCTCCTGTCGAAGTTCACAATCTGGGAAAGGTTCAGCCACATCTTTAGGCAGATAGAGGTCAAGAGAGAAGTAAACACCAAAGATGGCAGAGAGGAAAGACAGAGGCTGAGAGAAACACAGAAAACCCACAGATGAGGCAGGGTTGGTAGACTCCAGACCCCTCCTTTCTGCCAGATTCCAGGCAGGCTCACTGGTGGGGGGTGAGGGGACCAGGAACCAGAGGTCTCAAGATATTTTACCCAGAGTGAAAAGCAATCAAAAATTCTGTCTGTTGCTCTATATAGTTTTCTTGAAGTTGCAAAGAAGGAAATCATATATTGCTAATTCTAGGCCAACACCCACTAGTGAAGAGACTGAGACTCATGAGGGTCTCCAGAGGTACAGAACCTTTGACCTCAGAGCCCTCGGGGCAGGACAAGTGCCTGGAACACAGGGACCGACATGCTGCAGTGCCCTGGCCAGCTCTCCTAACTGCCTGGGCTTCACTGGGATTGTCCTGGTGTATGACTGGACATGTCAAGTCTCATGGAGGTGTGGTTGTCTTGGAGGTCTCTGGAACATAGTCACTGGCCTTCTGGTGTTTGTGAATTTAGGTCCAACTGTGCCTACCATCATCAGTATGCCATCCTCTCATCTGTTCATCTATTTAATAAACTATTTTCTCTCCACATATTTTCTGCCAGACCTGGTACTGAGAACCAGTGACTCAACGATAAATAAAACACAACCTCGTTCTATGTCTGAGAAGCTCGGGCATGTAAAGATACGGAAAGATGAACAGCACAGGAAAAGATGTGGATAATGGAAGGAATTTTAGGGTATCTTGGATACCCACTCAGACTTAGGAGAAGCAGCAGTTCTTAGACATGATATTTGGTCAAGTCTTAAAGGACCATTTAATATTTGGGAGGCAGCAGGGGCTGAAGGGAGTGGAACTGATAGACTAACTTCCTGATGGCAGAAGATACATAATAAGAACCAAGGAAAGGAGGGGGCAAAGAGGAGAGGGAACAGAGAGTGAGTGAACGAGACACTTACAGAACCACAGTGGCTCCTTAGGCCTGGGGTACTAGGTAGCCTTGAAGTTGAAGAGGCACTAAGGATTTGCCTGCCTCACTAAGGATTTGACTCTGGAAAGCTCAGCACCTGGAGTGTGAGGATAGATTGGAGGAGCGAGGTGTGACTGCGGTCAGGAGAGAGCAGCAAAAATGCTGTGACCAAAGTCCAATGGAAGGAGCTGTGACCAAGCTCAAGTTGTAAAGGCAGAACAACAGGACTTGCTGACTGACTGGATGTGAGGAAGATGGATGACCAAATTTTGACCTGGACAATTAAGGAGAGTGATTCACCTAGATAGGGCCAGACTGCTGGGGAAGGTGGGAGTAAGAAGTCATGCCCTAGAATTATTTAAAGAAGATGTTTACTGTGTAGATGCATGCAGCAGTCCACACTTGGGGAGGACTTTGGGGGTACATCAGGTATAGGCCATGGTTAGGTCAAGGCTTGGATGCCATTACTAAGACAGCTTATTAGACAGAAAGTCTAACCAGGTAAGCTCCAGTTTCAGTAAGAGACCCTGTCTCAAAAAAATCATGTGGAAAGTGATAGAGGAAGATACCCAGCATCTACCTCTGGCCCTCACACACGTGTGTATGTATGCCTGTGTACACACACACACACACACACACACACACACACACACACACACACACAGAGGTGGATGGAAAAAGATGGTCTTGAAAAGACCCAAAAGGGATGATCAGGGAAGTGGGTACACAAACAGGTTAATCACAATCAGAAGTGACATTTCCAGAAGGGAGAGATCAGCAGTGCCTAAGGCTACAGGAGGACTCAGCATGATAAAGATGTCCCCTGCACTTAAGTCCAGGAAGGTCCTTATCAGGGGCCATTTCATGGGCAGCATGAGGGAGAATCAGATTTTGGAAACAGGGGTGGGGTCGGGGGGCCAGGAGGAGAGATTCTACTGGTTCAAAAGCTTTGATCTGCCCCCTGCTGGGCACCCATTCTAGGGGTTACCTCCCTTCCTCTGTGAGCCTACTGTAGTCTAGGGTCTTGGGTCTCAGGGTCTCAGGAGGGCCTGTGTTACTGAATCTCTGCTTTCACGCCTGTCCTTGCTGGGTCTTGTTTGTGTCAGAAAGTGACAGAGCTGTTACAGGTTCTAAGCACTCTAGATCTTTGGTCAAGGCTTCCAGATTATTTGGATAGCATCTTGTGAGGTCATGGAAACAAGACTGAAACCCAGGCCTCGGCTACAAAAAAGAAACACCCCCAGCATTTCCTCTCTGGCCCCCGTGAACTTCTGTTCTCTATTGTATAATGAGATGACCACAGAAAGACAGGGCTAGATGAGACCCCGGCATCTTCAGGCCAGTCCCTGAAGAACAGGAGGCCCAGTGCAGGAGTGATTTGCTTGCAGGCTGATGAGGGGTACATGGGTGTTCTGGCCCCTGGGAGGCCTCTGGTCTGGAAGATGACCATCCAAGCAAAGACTCTGTACAAAGGGGAAGGCCCAGAGACCTGTCCGCTTGACCTTCCCCCAAGATCTGATCAGGCCAGTGCACTTTTGGAAAATTCTCATAGCCAGAGAAACACAAGACCCCTCAGTTCTCAAGGGCCAATCTGGGAACAGCACTTGGAGCCCTTCATGAAGCTTCATCGCCCCTTCACTATCACTGCAGGTATCAAGGTCACGTCCCGGGTGTAGCTTCCTCCTTTGGCTCCTCCTATGGCAATACCGCCATCAAGTACTTCCAGGACTACCGCAATGCAGCTGTGGAGAAGAGCTATGCAGTCCTCAGTGGAGGCCGATTCCCCACCATCTTCTCCCCTAATCCCTCCCTGGTGCTGACTGAGTGCTCACAGAACTGGGACCGCTGGCTGCACCTGCCCACCTACACCTGCTTCAATCCGGATAGCAGTCGCTCCACTAAGCTTAATGACTTCTACAAGGTGAACTGCCCTCCTGGCCCCAGCCCCACCCTGCATCCTACAGAGTGCCTCTGTCTTTTCAGAATCCGGGAGCCAGACGGGACCTCTCTTATTCAAGGACTTCTATGACTCCATTTTGCTCATCAAGGATGTCCCTGCCCCTTCCTCTGTCCTCTGTATCTTTTGGCTCTGTGAGCCCCTGCTTTACCTCTTACCTGAAGAAGAGACCCAAATAATCACTCTAGGAAAAATTTAACCTAGCCAAAGGCCCCCACTAAAACCCTTTGGTACCCACTAACCCTCCCCAGTTCCTTCAGGTACATGGGACTGAGCCTCCCCTGGTTCTCAGGATATGAATGAGGACTCATTCTCTGGTATGCTCTGGGAACTCTATTCTTCTCTTTCAAACATGCCTCCATCAATGACACAGATGCTGCCTGATGCCAGGGAAGGGACTTCTCTGAGTAAGAAAGCTTCCTCAAGTGTAGGAGAGGTAATGGTCTCAGGCTCTGAGAAACCATAGGGCCATCTCAGTGTGTCTGTGACAACGTTTTGACTCTCACACAGATACACCCGAGCTTATATCATGCTTGTGGGGACACTGGGTGGGATGCACCTGCTGAGCTGAAGTTTCAGAGCTGTCTTAGTTGCTTCCTGTCTCCTTTACTCTGCAGCAAAACTGCTATGTGAGTGTCAATATCCCCAACACATAGCGGAGAAAGTGAGGCTTAGAGAACAGCAGCTGATTAGTGGTTGAGCTGGGGCCCCAGGAACTCTGGGGGCTTTACCAGAGGCAATAGAGGAGACTGCTTCACCCCTGCCCAAGTACTGCTTCCCAGCTGTATGACACAATAACAACCTGTTGTCTGTTCTTTGGCCGAGCTGTAGACAGTACAGCAGCAGCGGAAGTACTACCAAGACAAGACTGGCATGGTGTCCCAAGTCCCGTACTTCATACTACCTGTGAGGGAGCCGGACCTGTACCCACTACCCACCAATCTGTGAGTGGCACTCCCTTCCTTCCTGCTGTTTGCAAATATGCATCCACAGGGGACCTCCTCCTCACCCAGGCCTGCAGAACATCCACTCTAGGAAACTAGCCTTGTATCTGCATGCAGAACAAGCGGATCCCAGCTCCAGCAACCTTTGGAGGGAGGAGAATACCAGGAAGCTGTAATCGGAAGAATCAAGAAGAGAATTTTCCTGGCCAGATACACTTAGAGTTTGGGGGGCACACTCCATAACCTTTGCAGATGGGAATATGCCTACTGCTTTCCCTGCAAGGACAGCCTCTCACAGCGGCACTGGTCCAAACCCGGTGCTGCTGCTGCCCTCTGGTGGATGAATAGGGCACTGCACCGAATGGAGACTACTCTCAACTCCTACCTCCCGCTTCCCTCCTCGGAACGTAGGGACTTGAAAATATCTTAAAAGTCTAACTAACCAGCTAACAAAATATGAAAGTTCCTTACAACCCCAGGATCCACACCTGTTGCTGTCTGAGAGCGCGCCCTGCCCCAGGGAAGGCCTGCTCTGCCCTGCAAGGTGATTCAGACAGTGTTGCTCCCACCCAGGCACAGGAATCACAAATTTACACGCAGGTGTCCTATGGCTGGAGTAGGGTGGTTGGTGCCTGTGCTAGGGACCAGTAAGTTTCCAGTTCATTCCTCACTCCACCCTTGCAACCCCTGTCTCTTCATCTGGGGAGCGATGTTAGGAGGTCAGTGGACAGCAGGTTTCTAACCCTAACCCCTGCTTTTCTCAAGAGCCCTAGCCTTACCATTCAGTTATAGATGCAACAGCTGTTCCATATGGTTTGATGGATTTTACAGACATGGTTTTACTACCTCTAGAAGTGCCTCTCTGTAAAACAGATGGGCCTGTTTATAAGCAGGGAAGCTAGGGTCTAGTGAAGGCCTCAGGAGGTTGTGTTATGTGGGCTGGTAGTTAGAGACTCAGTCTAGGAAGGGACTTGTGTTTTCTGAAGTTAACTCTCGGCTCTGTTGAGTTGGGGAGTTCTGAGACAAGGTGTCTCTGGAGACAGAGTCTCTCCTGGGGACAGGTCTCCTGAGAACTTCTTGCTAGATGTGCCCTTCTTGAAGCTTCACATCCCCAGATCTCTCTCTTCCAAACTACCTGACAGTCTGTACTGCTGACAGTGTCATACCTGACACAGATTATCAACCAGGTGGTTGGGGAAGAAGGTCAGTGATCAGTTTTGTAGGCTAGAGAATCTCTCCCCTTTTGGAGTTCTGTCATAATCATCACTACAACCACCACCATTACCATCATCAGCACTACCATTGTCATCACACCATCAGCATCAGCATCATTACCATCATCACCACCATCACCATCATCACTACTATCACCATCATAATTACCACCATCACCATCATCACCTTCATACCAGCATCACCATCACCCCCACCATCATCACCATCACCATCATCACACCAGCATCACCACCATCACCTTCATACTATCATCACCATCGTCATCACCACCATCATCACCATCATCACCATCACCATTATCATCATCATCACATTCACCATCACCACTGCCACCATCACTATCATCATTAGCACTATCACCATCCCTATTGCCACCACCATCATCCCCATCATCATCTCTGTAATAGCTGAGTATTTACACCTGCCTTACCTTATGTTAAGTGCTTCTTAAAGCACCTTGTCTTATTATGTTAAGTTACTTCTTGAAGCAAAATTAAGAAGGTAATAGTCACAGCCATTTGTTGCTACATGTTTCTGTTTTCAGCAGGAGACAGGGCCAGAATCCATACCAAGTCACTTTCCTTCCAAGTCAGGGTGACTTAGCAAATGCCATACTAATGAATGGCTTGTAGGGCCACAGGACTGAAAGTGGGCATGGGTAGCTATGGTGGACATTTCTTCACCGTCCCTTCCAGGCCTCCTTTGACCCAGAAGAATAAATGGCACCTTTTAAGAGTTTCTCCTGACTACGTGAGGACCTACCAGACCTTCCCATCAGGGAAGAGAGTCTCCTCACAAGAGCGGCAGAAGAGGGACTGCTACTTTGAATTTAGAGCATGAGACTGTGACTGATGCCTGGGAGATTTAGCCCTGACCAGGTTGGCTTGCTTACAATAAAATCTCTAGCCACAACCACCTCATACATCTGTCGTATGGATCCATGTCACCATGCCGGGAAAGTATTTCCTAAGGTCACTTGGCATCATGTCTTAAGAGCCTATAGAGAGCTCAACCCGAGGGATTCAAATCCAGGAAAAGCAGTACCCAGCTACTGTGAGCCACTCAGCTGTTTTCAACATGGGGCTTGTGGAATCAATGAGTGTCAGGCTCACAAGCCTTCTCAGTTAGGAAACCTCCCATTGTCGTCACTGGTATAACTGGGGAGGCCCAGATTCCCTGTCCTTGAAAAGGGTAGCAGGGTCCCAGAACAACTGTACTGGATGTGAGGTGGAGTATTAGTTACTTTTCTCATTGTTGTGACCAAATACCTGACAAGAAGCACCTTTAGGAAGGAGAGGTTTATTCTGGCTCATAGTTCAAGGGATACAGTCCATCGTGGTGGGGAAGGCCTGGTGACAGGACCAGTTCCTGTCAGTGGCGGCCAGAGGCTGCTTGCTTATATCTCAGCATATCAGAAAGCAGAGATAAGGGAATGCTGTGCTCTGCTTTTCCCTTTCCCTCTTTTTACTCAGTCTAGGGTCCTGCACATGGGATGCAGCCACCCACATTCAGAGTGGGATTTCCTCCCCCAGTTAATGGTCTTTGGAAACTCACAGACACAAAAATGTGCTTCACTAATTCCCTAGGTGTTTCTTTCTTTCTTTCTTTCTTTCTTTTTTTAATTCCTTTCATGTGTATGAGTGTTTTTGCCTGCATGTAAGTGCAACACATGTGTGCAGTGCCCTTGGAGGTCAGAAGAGGGCTTTGTTTTGCCTGGAACTGGACTTATGGATGGATTTTAGGTACCATGTGGGTTCTGGGAACTGACCTGGGTCCTCTGTAAGAGTAGCCAGTGCTCTTACATTGAGACAGCCCTCCAGCCCCCACCCCAGGTCTTTCTTTCTTTCTTTCTTTCTTTCTTTCTTTCTTTCTTTCTTTCTTTCTTTCTTTCTTTCTTTCTTCCTTCCTTCCTTCCTTCCTTCCTTCCTTCCTTTCTTCCTTCCTTCCTTCTTACTTTCTTTTATTTTCTTTTTTTCCACTTTTTTTGAGACAGGGTCTCACTGTAGCCCCAACTGACCTGAAACTTGCTATACAGACCAGGCTGGCCTCACTGTCACAGAGATCCACCTGCCTCTGCCTCCCAAGTGCTGGGATCAAAGGCATGTGCCAGCGCACCTGGCTTCCCAGGAATTTCTTTTGCCACCACGCCGAGCTCCCAGGAGTTTCTTAATCTAATAAAATTGACAATAAAAATTAACCCTTACATATGAGAAGAAATTCTACTGGAGCTTGGCGTTATTTGGTCCATATGATCACTTGAAAGAGAGATATTACCCCACTTCCCTAAATATTTTTTATAATTTTTATAAAATTATAAAATATTTTATTATCTTTTATTATTTTATGTATGAGTGTATTGCCTGCATGTAAGTGCACCCATGTCATGCAGTGCCTGCAGAGATCAGAAGAGGCGGTCAGATCCCTTGGAACTGGAGTTATAGATGGTTGTTAGCTGCCATGTGGGTGCTAGGATTTGAACCCAGGTCCTCTGCAAGGGCAGTCAGTGCTTTTAATCATCTAGCCATCTCTCCAGTCCCAGAAATGGAACTTCTAAGACATTGAGAAAGTTGCCCATGCTCACACAATAAGGAAATAACACAGCCAAGATTTGAACCAGATTTACTGGGCTCCCCAGTCCTGGTTTCTCCACCACATACCCTGATTGTGGCCCATGAGGGGTTGCTGGGACCCTGAGAGGCCCTTCAGAGGGGCAGTGCCTGAGAAAAGAAGCCATTTGAAGCAGTCACTTCCTGTATTCTGCCCAGACTGGAGGGGCAAGTTGGTTTGGTATCTGTCTACTGTTGCTGTGATAAAACACCATGACCATGGCAGCTTATAGTAAGAAGAGTTTATTTGGCTTAGGGTTTCAGGGGGAGAGTCCACAATGGCAGGGGAGACATGGTAGCACAAAGTGGCCAGAGTAGAAAGCCGAGTGAGTGCTCACATCTTCAAGCAGGCCCAGGAAACATGAAACTAGAAATCCAGCAAGGCTTAAGAACTCTCAAAGCCTGCTTCCAGTGACATGCCTCCTTCAGCGTGGTCACACCTCCTAAAGGTTCCATGGTCCTCCATAACAGTGCCACAAACTGGGATCAAGTGTTCAAATACTTGGAGCCTCTGGGGGACACTTATTCACACCACCACACTACCCTTGAGTTAATTTCTAAAAGAGGCTAGGAGTGAGCCAGGACCAACAACAAGGGCATAGGGAGTGGGTGCCAAGGCTGCATGCCTGGGTGACCTTGGAGGGTCACGGTCTGCTGTCACAAGGTGGTTGCTTTCTACTTCCTGGTGGACTCTGTTTGATGGGACAGAAGACAGGACATAACAGCCTACTGGTAGTCAGGCTCTAGGGAAGGGACCTCATGTCAGGAGTGTATCTACACCATTGGACTGCCCCTACCTTCCAGTACCCAGATTAGATCAAGGGGGACTCCATCAAGTAATGGGGCCTTATTGCCCCTGAACAGGTGAATTAAGACCTGAAGACAAAGTTCAAGTATAGAGGAGGCAAAATAGCCCTTTCTCTGTAGCAGTCATCTCCCCTGGGCAGCACAGATCAGAAAAACCATATTTCCAGCAGGTATCCATCTGGCGGTTCCCTCAAGTTCCCATAATGGACTTCTCCTATGTCCCAGAGTCCCTGGCCATCTGGGTCTTGAAGTGTCCTTGGAGTGACCAAATTCATTCCAGGGCTTGGCTGAATAGCAAAGCAAATAAGCTCTAATTGCTGGTCACACATGGTCCCATCCCAAGGGCCTGAGGGTGCCAAGTAGGGCCAAGATGTCTTCTCCATGGGAGGAGGACAGGGAAAGCCAGGCGCCAGCTGGAATGGCAGCTATGTGCACATCTCCATGCTCTGCTCTGGGAGATGATAGCTGGGGGTGGCTTCCAGAAAAAGGGGGAAGGGTCAATATTTTTCTAGTGAACTTTGTCCCATTTGGCCTGGTCCCCTGTTCTGACATAAGTTAAGATTTGAACTCTGTCCTGGAAAAGATTGCCTTCCCAACTTGCCTGGAGTTGCTGGCAAACTTAAGCACCAGAATGAGGAGTTCTTAACACCAAGTCCCCCTGTAGGATTCTGTTTCCAAAAGCAATGGGTGAAGCTGGGCATGGTGGCGTCTTTGATCCCAGAACTTGTGAGACAGAGGCAAGCGGATCACTGTGAGATCAAGGCCAGCTTGGTCTACATGGTGTGTTTCAGGCCAATGGAGGGGTGGGCTTAGGAAAACACATTCTTTTTGCTTTATTTAGTAAATAATATCCTAGAGGTAAGGGAGTCACAAGGACAAGTCATACTTCAAATCAGATCTCTCAGTGTCGAGCAGGTGGGCTGCTGGGTCGTTTGCTGTCATATCAACAGCCCCAGAAGTGAATCCGAAAAGAGCTGAAAGAAAGAATCCCAGAGCTGTCTTGGGTCCCCACCTTGCAAGTCTAAGGTCCCTCACACTTCTTTCTGTAGACAATGGTTCAAGTCAACCTAAATCTCTCTCTCTCTCTCTCTCTCTCTCTCTCTCTCTCTCTCTCACCCTCTCCCTCTCTCCTTCTCTCTCTCTCCACCCCCCTCCCCCTCTCCCTCTCTCCCTCTCCCTCTCCCTCTCCCTCTCTCTGGAGGCCAGAGGGCAACCTCAGGTATCATTCCTTGGGAGCCATCCTCCTTGTGTTTTTTTGAGACAGAGTCTCTCCCTGGGGCCTGAGGCTCACTGATTTGGCTACACTGATTGGTCAGAGAGCCCCAGGAGTCTTCTGTCTCTGCCGCCCTAGCATTGGGATTACCAGCATGCCCCACCACACCCAGCTTTTTATATGGCTGCTACAGATCAAACTTAGGTCCTCAAAATTGCATGGCAAGTACTTTACCAATTAATGGAGCTACCTCCCCAGTCACCAAGCTTTCTAGAAGCTTTTTCAGCATCACCAGAACCCAAAGAGTTTTTAATTTTTGCAGTACTGGAACCAATAAAGAGAAACAGGAGTCATTCAGACACAGATACATGGCAGATAGTTCTAGTTTCAATTTTGTGCTAGGTGTTGTGGAGGAAGAGGGATTTCCTCTGATACGAGTCATCCCAAGTGTGACCTCTCCAGGTTCTGTCAAGCCACAACCCTTTTGTTGATGTTGGAATGGGGAGCCTTCATCTCCATCTGGGTGGTTGGAAGAGGAGTGAACACACCTGACTTACCTGTGCCACTCAGGTTCTCTCTAGGAGTTCAATATCTCAGTTGAGCAGCTGAGACTATACTTAAGAGTCACTGAAGGCTATTCAAAATCAAATAGATACAAACTTAACCATTGTCAGGAGCCCATGATGGCCTCAGATCTGACAAAGCAAAGACTGCTGGTATGCAGTGGAAAGCTCAGTGTGGGGGAGTAAGGAGAGAAGCAGAGATAGTGGAGATGGAGAGGCGGAGAGGGAAAGGGGGGGAGGGAAGGGGAGAGGGAGAAGGACAGAGGAAGAGGGAGAGAATGATGAATGGATATTCAGACTACTGGCCTACCCAGGTACTTGCTAAACCAGTTCTCTGTTCTTTTTTGAGTTGTTTTATTAAGCTCTCAGGAGTAAGAATCCTCCCTCACTATCAAAATCACCTTGCCTGTGAGACCAAGAGGCAGTAATGGGGGCGGGTATGAAATATACAGGTCAACAGATGCCAGCTCAGCACAAAGAAGGCCACTTTCACAAGGGTCCTCAGTCATGGCATGGGCCAGCTATAGCATTGCTACAATTGGAATAATCCAGAAACATGGTCAGTATGGCCGTGGAAATACCAGAAGGGAGTCTGGAGCAGAGAGCACTGAAGCCACCTCTTCTCTAAGGTAGGATTGGTTGTTTCTCTTGAGATAACTCTTTTCTTCTCTGAGCTCCTCCACTGGCATCCTCACACTCCTGAGCCAACCCTCAGCTCCGG